ACTCCTATGTCTCACTCCTTGTGTCTCACTCCTTGTGTCTCACCCTGTGTGTCTCACTCCTTATGTCTCACTCCTTGTGTCTCACTCCTTGTGTCTCACCCTGTGTGTCTCACTCCTTGTGTCTCACTCCTTGTGTCTCACCCCTTGTGTCTCACCCCTTGTGTCTCACTCCTTGTGTCTCATCCTGTGTGTCTCACTCCTTGTGTCTCACCACGTGTGTCTCACTCCTTGTGTCTCACCACGTGTGTCTCACTCCTTGTGTCTCACCCCTTGTGTCTCACCACGTGTGTCTCACTCCTTGTGTCTCACCCCTTATGTCTCACCCCTTGTGTCTCACTCCTTATGTCTCACTCCTTGTGTCTCACTCCTTGTGTCTCACCCTGTGTGTCTCACTCCTTATGTCTCACTCCTTGTGTCTCACTCCTTGTGTCTCACCCTGTGTTGTCTCACTCCTTGTGTCTCACTCCTTGTGTCTCACCCTGTGTGTCTCACCCTGTGTGTCTCTCCCCGTGTGTCTCTCCCCGTGTGTCTCCAGGCCATACTCAGGCTGCTGCAGTACACCGTCTCTCTGCTGGCGAACCTCTCCCGCGTGCCAGAGAACCGCGCCTGCTTCCGCCAGAGCAACGCGGTGCCCGTGATGCAGGAGCTGCTCAAGAAGGACGACGTGGATGTCAGGATGTCTGCCCTGCAGGTCATCGCCCTCGTGCTGGAGGAGAGCGACTGTGACCCCCTGGGAGAGACGAGTAAGCAAACTCTCACCGCACCCCGCACGGACCGCTCGCCTGCGGGACTCGGCCCTCGCTCGCCCTCCGCTCGCCTCCCTTGTGCAGCTTTAGTCAGACGAGGGGTGTAGACGTCACCGCATTAAAGAAGACCGTGACACACGCACGCAGGAGTCTAAAGAAAAAGATTCCCCGCATAGCCTTCAACAGACTTGGGCCAAGTGCTGTTCACAACCCGCTATGAATACTGGCGTGCCATACGAGGTGGTAGATGGGCGTGGTGCTGGGCATGGTGCTGGGCATGGTGCTGGGTGTTTATTTAAAAATAAAAATAAATAATGTTTATGTTACCGGGTAGGGCCCCACTGAGCGATGTAGTTATTGTGTAGGAGCGACTTGGCCACCACCAATGACAGCTCATCACGTGGCTCATCACGTGGACATTTATAGCAGCCAAATACTCTAACATGGTCTTGCGGAATTCTGAATCGAGGCGTCTGTTGTATTGATTCTGCTCACAGTTGATCCAACAGCCACGTTAGGGTATCGATTCATCGAGGGTTAATCACTGCGTCGATTCATTTGCGATACATGGATCGACTAATCCCATTGGTTATACTCTTTGGATCACGACGTTTCGATTGCAACACAAGCAACCGTCTTCAGGTGAGAGAGGTTAGTAGAGCTTCCCGCAGAACGTGGTGATAGCAGCTGGTGGTTAATGTTACGCAAGCTCTGACAATGCCCTGATGAGTACATCACTTACTGCGTGTTTGTTTATGTGAGCAATAAAAGTTATTTTTATTTATAAAATGCTTTAATACATTTATCATGTGTACTGTATCATTATTAAGGCTATTACCGATACTCCAATGAAGCCCTCACATTGTTCATAGTTAAAAAACAGCTGTCGGTAACGCATCTCCATTGGAACCATGTCATAGCGACCTCCTATAGCGCTGTTTCGTATAGTGCTCACTTTACCAAGCACGCCACCTGAGCGCTATAGGAGGTATGTCTGTAGTTTAAACACAATTAGTCATAGCGAGCACAACAGCTCTACGCATAACACCATGCGGACACACAGAGTCATAGCAATAGCTGTTAAACCACGCGTTTAGATCTCGTACCCCACACTCACAATGTCACCGTAAACCTCCACAACAAGCGGCGAAGGCGCCACCGCTGGACTGTGTGGGTGTGGGTGACACGGGACACGTGGTGGGCTGTGTGGGTGACACGGGACACGTGGTGGGCTGTGTGGGTGACACGGGACACGTGGTGGGCTGTGTGGGTGACACAGGACACGTGGTGGGCTGTGTGGGTGTGGGTGACACGTGGTGGGCTGTGTGGGTGACACGGGACACGTGGTGGGCTGTGTGGGTGTGGGTGACACGTGGTGGGCTGTGTGGGTGACACGGGACACGTGGTGGGCTGTGTGGGTGACACGGGACACGTGGTGGGCTGTGTGGGTGACACGTGGTGGGCTGTGTGGGTAACACGGGAAACGTGGTGGGCTGTGTGGGTGACACGGGACACGTGGTGGGCTGTGTGGGTGACACTAGACACGTGGTGGGCTGTGTGGGTGACACGTGACACGTGGTCAGATGTGTGGGTGACACGGGACACGTGGTGGGCTGTGTGGGTGACACGGGACACGTGGTGGGCTGTGTGGGTGACACGGGACACGTGGTGGGCTGTGTGGGTGACACTAGACACGTGGTGGGCTGTGTGGGTGACACTAGACACGTGGTGGGCTGTGTGGGTGACACGTGACACGTGGTCAGATGTGTGGGTGACACGGGACACGTGGTGGGCTGTGTGGGTGACACGGGACACGTGGTGGGCTGTGTGGGTGACACGGGACACGTGGTGGGCTGAGGAGTGATGGTCTCTGCGTGCCTCGTTACAGACTCCACTAACGAGCTGCTCCAGACCATCGGTAAGCCCACCGTGTACGGCCGATACAAGTCGGCGGGTGGTGAGATCCTATCCCTGACGGAGGAGCTGCTGGAGTCTCTGGCCATGCTGTCCGTGTGCTGGCCGGTGCGCAGGAAGGTGAGCGCTCGCACCGCACCACCGACGAGGCACCGGCAGGGCGACGCCGGTGCCGTGGCCGCCCGGGTCGGCCCTGGGCGCCGTGCCGGGCGTCGTGAATCCGTGACGCTTCTCGGCCGCTTCTCTCGTCAGATCTACGAGGCGGGCGCCGTGGCTCCGCTGGTGCAGAGCCTGAGGCAGGGCCGCTCCGTGGAGAAGCTCCACGCGGTGACGACGCTCAGCAGACTCAGCCGGGAGCCCGGCACCTGCTCCAAGATGAGGCTGGGTGAGGAGGAGCAGGAGGAGGAGGGCTGCTCTCCCTGCACGCTCAGCAGCACGTCACACACACACCACGTGTACACACTACGTATATACTACATGTACTATACACACACTACATGTACTATACACACACTACATGTACTATATACACACTACATGTACTATATACACTACATGTACTATACACACACTACATGTACTATACACGCACACTACATGTACTATACACACTACATGTACTATATACACACTACATGTACTATATACACACACCACATGTACTATATACACACTACATGTACTATACACACACTACATGTACTATACACACACTACATGTACTATACACACACTACATGTACTATATACACTACATGTACTATATATACACACTACATGTACTATACACACACTACATGTACTATACACACACTACATGTACTATACACACACTACATGTACTATATACACTACATGTACTATATATACACACTACATGTACTATACACACACTACATGTACTATACACGCACACTACATGTACTATATACACACTACATGTACTATATACACACACCACATGTACTATATACACACTACATGTACTATACACACACTACATGTACTATACACACACTACATGTACTATACACACACTACATGTACTATATACACTACATGTACTATACACACACTACATGTACTATACACGCACACTACATGTACTATATACACACACTACATGTACTATATACACACTACATGTACTATACACACTACATGTACTATACACACACTACATGTACTATACACGCACACTACATGTACTATATACACACTACATGTACTATATACACACACTACATGTACTATACACACTACATGTACTATATACACTACATGTACTATATATACACACTACATGTACTATACACACACTACATGTACTATACACACACTACATGTACTATATACACTACATGTACTATATATACACACTACATGTACTATACACACACTACATGTACTATACACGCACACTACATGTACTATATACACACTACATGTACTATACACACACACTACATGTACTATACACACACTACATGTACTATATACACACACTACATGTACTATATACACACTACATGTACTATACACACACTACATGTACTATACACACTACATGTACTATATACACACTACATGTACTATATACACACACTACATGTACTATACACACACACTACATGTACTATACACACACTATATGTACTATACACACACTACATGTACTATATACACACTACATGTACTATATACACACTACATGTACTATACACACATTACATGTACTATATACACACTACATGTACTATACACACACACTACATGTACTATACACACACTACATGTACTATATACACACACTACATGTACTATACACACACACTACATGTACTATACACACTACATGTACTATACACACACTGCATGTACTATGCACACATTACATGTACTATACACACACTACATGTACTATACACGCACACTACATGTACTATACACACACTACATGTACTATATACACACACTACATGTACTATACACACTACATGTACTATACACACACACTACATATACTATACACACACACTACATGTACTATACACACACACTACATGTACTATACACACACTACATGTACTATACACACACTACATGTACTATATACACACTACATGTACTATACACACACTACATGTACTATACACACATTACATGTACTATATACACACTACATGTACTATACACACACACTACATGTACTATACACACACTACATGTACTATATACACACACTACATGTACTATACACACACACTACATGTACTATACACACTACATGTACTATACACACACTGCATGTACTATGCACACATTACATGTACTATACACACACTACATGTACTATACACACATTACATGTACTATACACACACTACATGTACTATACACACACTACATGTACTATACACACACTATATGTACTATATACACACTACATGTACTATATACACACTACATGTACTATACACACACTACATGTACTATATACACACTACATGTACTATATATACACACTACATGTACTATACACACACTACATGTACTATACACGCACACTACATGTACTATATACACACTACATGTACTATACACACACACTACATGTACTATACACACACTACATGTACTATATACACACACTACATGTACTATATACACACTACATGTACTATACACACACTACATGTACTATACACACTACATGTACTATATACACACACTACATATACTATACACACACACTACATGTACTATACACACACACTACATGTACTATACACACACTACATGTACTATACACACACTACATGTACTATATACACACTACATGTACTATACACACACTACATGTACTATACACACATTACATGTACTATATACACACTACATGTACTATACACACACACTACATGTACTATACACACACTACATGTACTATATACACACACTACATGTACTATACACACACACTACATGTACTATACACACACTACATGTACTATACACACACTGCATGTACTATGCACACATTACATGTACTATACACACACTACATGTACTATACACACATTACATGTACTATACACACACTACATGTACTATACACACACTACATGTACTATACACACACTATATGTACTATACACACACTATATGTACTATACACACACACTACATGTACTATACACACACACACTACATGCACTATATACACACACTACATTTACTATATATACACTACATGTACTATATACACACACATTACATGTACTATATACACACACTACATGTACTATACACACACACTACATGTACTATATACACACTACATGTACTATATACACACACTACATGTACTATATACACACTACATGTACTATATACACACACTACATGTACTATACACACACTACATTTACTATATACACACTACATGTACTATATACACACATTACATGTACTATATACACACTACATGTACTATATACACACTACATGTACTATACACACACTACATGTACTATATACACACTACATGTACTATATATACTCACTACATGTACTATACACACACTACATGTACTATACACGCACACTACATGTACTATATACACACTACATGTACTATACACACACACTACATGTACTATACACACACTACATGTACTATATACACACACTACATGTACTATATACACACTACATGTACTACACACACACACTACATGTACTATACACACACTACATGTACTATATACACACACTACATGTACTATACACACTACATGTACTATATACACACACTACATATACTATACACACACTACATGTACTATATACACACACTACATGTACTATATATACACTACATGTACTATATACACACACTACATGTACTATATACACACTACATGTACTATATACACACACTACATGTACTATAAACACACTACATGTACTATACACACACTACATGTACTATACACACATTGCATGTACTATATACACTACATGTACTATACACACACTACATGTACTATACACACACTACATGTACTATATACACACACTACATGTACTATATACACACACTACATGTACTATACACACACTACATGTACTATACACACACTGCATGTACTATGCACACATTACATGTACTATACACACACTACATGTACTATACACACATTACATGTACTATACACACACTACATGTACTATACACACACTACATGTACTATACACACACACTATATGTACTATACACACACTATATGTACTATACACACACACTATATGTACTATACACACACACACTACATTTACTATATACACACACTACATTTACTATATACACACACTACATGTACTATATACACACACACTACATGTACTATATACACACACTACATGTACTATATACACACACTACATTTACTATATATACACTACATGTACTATATACACACACATTACATGTACTATATACACACACTACATGTACTATACACACACACTACATGTACTATATACACACACTACATGTACTATATACACACTACATGTACTATATACACACACTACATGTACTATACACACACTACATTTACTATATACACACTACATGTACTATATACACACATTACATGTACTATACACACACACTACATGTACTATATACACACTACATGTACTATATATACACACTACATGTACTATATACACACATTACATGTACTATATACACACTACATGTACTATATACACACACATTACATGTACTATACACACACTACGTGTACTATACACACACTACATGTACTATATACACACACTACATGTACTATACACACACACTACATGTACTATATACACACTACATGTACTATACACACTACATGTACTATACACACAAACTACATGTACTATACACACCACGTGTACACACTACATATACTATATACACACACCACACATATATACACTACATATATATGCGGTTGAGTGTGGAGTGTGTGTGTGGTGAGTGATGAGTATGTGTGGTGAGTGTGAGTGAGGAGTGTCTTTGGTTAGTAGTGAGTGTTTGTATGGTGAGTGGTGAGCATGTGTACCATGAGTGTGTGTATTATGAGTGGTGAGGGTGTATGGTGAGTTAGTAGTGTGGATAGTGAGTGGTAAATTGTGAGTGAGTGGTGAGTGTGTGTACGGTGAATGAGTAGTGAGTGTGTATGGTGAGTTAGTGGTGTGTATGGTGAGTGGTGAGTGAGTGGGGAGTGAGTAGTGAGTGAGTATGGTGAGTGAGTATGGTGAGTGGTGAGTGAGTGAGTGGTGAGTCTATATCGTGAGTGGTGAGTGTGTGTAGTGAGTGGTGAGTGAGTGGTGAGTGTGTGGTGAGTGAGTGGTGAGTGAGTAGTGAGTGAGTGAGTGGTGAGTGAGTGAGTGGTGAGTGGTGAGTGAGTGGTGAGTGAGTGGTGTAGTGAGTGGTGAGTGTGTGGTGATTGAGTGGTGAGTGAGTGAGTGGTGAGTGAGTGAGTGAGTGGTGAGTGAGTGAGTGGTGAGTGAGTGGTGAGTGAGTGGTGTAGTGAGTGGTGTAGTGAGTGGTGAGTGTGTGGTGATTGAGTGGTGAGTGGTGAGTGAGTGAGTGAGTGGTGAGTGAGTGAGTGGTGAGTAAGTGAGTGTGTGGTGAGTGGTGAGTGAGTGTAGTGAGTGTGTAGTGAGTGAGTGGTGAGTGAGTGAGTGGTGAGTGACTGAGTGAGCGGTGAGTGTGACTGAGTGTGTGGTGAGTGAGTGGTGAGTGTGACTGAGTGTGTGGTGAGTGAGTGGTGAGTGAGTGGTGAGTGTGACTGAGTGTGTGGTGAGTGAGTGGTGAGTGTGACTGAGTGAGTGGTGAGTGAGTGGTGAGTGTGACTGAGTGAGTGGTGAGTGAGTGGTGAGTGAGTGAGTGTGACTGAGTGTGTGGTGAGTGAGTGGTGAGTGAGTGGTGAGTGTGACTGAGTGAGTGGTGAGTGAGTGGTGAGTGTGACTGAGTGAGTGGTGAGTGAGTGGTGAGTGAGTGGTGAGTGTGACTGAGTGTGTGGTGAGTGAGTGGTGAGTGAGTGGTGAGTGTGACTGAGTGTGTGGTGAGTGAGTGAGTGGTGAGTGTGACTGAGTGAGTGGTGAGTGAGTGAGTGGTGAGTGTGACTGAGTGTGTGGTGAGTGAGTGGTGAGTGTGACTGAGTGAGTGGTGAGTGAGTGGTGAGTGAGTGGTGAGTGAGTGGTGAGTGGTGAGTGAGTGGTGAGTGAGTGGTGAGTGGTGAGTGAGTGGTGAGTGGTGAGTGAGTGGTGAGTGTGACTGAGTGAGTGGTGAGTGAGTGGTGAGTGAGTGAGTGTGACTGAGTGAGTGGTGAGTGAGTGGTGAGTGAGTGGTGAGTGTGACTGAGTGTGTGGTGAGTGAGTGGTGAGTGAGTGGTGAGTGGTGAGTGAGTGGTGAGTGAGTGAGTGAGTGGTGAGTGTGACTGAGTGAGTGAGTGGTGAGTGGTGAGTGAGTGGTGAGTGTGACTGAGTGAGTGGTGAGTGAGTGGTGAGTGAGTGGTGAGTGTGACTGAGTGTGTGGTGAGTGAGTGGTGAGTGTGACTGAGTGAGTGGTGAGTGGTGAGTGAGTGTGACTGAGTGAGTGGTGAGTGAGTGGTGAGTGTGACTGAGTGAGTGGTGAGTGAGTGAGTGAGTGGTGAGTGTGACTGAGTGAGTGGTGAGTGAGTGGTGAGTGAGTGGTGAGTGTGACTGAGTGAGTGGTGAGTGAGTGGTGAGTGTGACTGAGTGTTTGTGTGTCTCAGAGGGACAACTTCACTGCCCCATATGGAGCACGAACCAGAACCAGCTGAGGGAGAGAGCGGCCGGCTCCTGGGGCAGCGTGAGGACATCCACCTCCTCTACACCTCCTCTTCTACACCTCCTCTACACCACCTCCTCTACACCTCCACCTCCTCTACACCACCTCCTCTACACCTCCTCTTCTACACCTCCTCTACACCACCTCCTCTACACCTCCACCTCCTCTACACCTCCACCTCCTCTACACCTCCTCTTCTACACCTCCTCTACACCACCTCCTCTACACCTCCACCTCCTCTACACCTCCACCTCCTCTACACCTCCACCTCCTCTACACCTCCACCTCCTCTACACCTCCACCTCCTCTACACCTCCTCCTCTACATCTCCTCCTCCTCTGCACCTCCACCTCCTCTACACCACCTCCTCTACACCACCTCCTCTACACCACCTCCTCCTCTACACCCCAGCGGTGTCCCCAGCGCGACGCTCGTGCAGGGCGTGCGGTGACGCAACCCCCCCCCCCCCCCCGTGGCCCTCACCTCCCGGTCCCCCCCCCCTGTGCCTCAGGCCGTGCTCCGCGCCGTCAAGAGCTTCATCTCGTGCTGCTCCTCCTCCAGGTCCACGGAGGTGCAGGCTCGCCTCGCAGGTAACAGCAGCCCCTAGGCAACAGCAGCCCCTAGGCAACAGCAACCTGGAGGCAACAGCAGCCTCTAGGTAACAGCAGCCCCTAGGTAACAGTAGCCCCTAGGTAACAGTAGCCCCTAGGTAACAGCAGCCCCTAGGTAACAGCAGCCCCTAGGTAACAGCAGCCCCTAGGCAACAGCAGCCCCTAGGCAACGGCAGCCCCTAGGTAACAGCAGCCCCTAGGTAACAGTAGCCCCTAGGTAACAGCAGCCCCTAGGTAACAGCAGCCCCAGCAGCCCCTAGGTAACAGCAGCCCCTAGGCAACAGCAGCCCCTAGGTAACAGCAGCCCCTAGGTAACAGCAGCCCCTAGGTAACAGCAGCCCCTAGGCAACAGCAGCCCCTAGGTAACAGCAGCCCCTAGGCAACAGCAGCCCCTAGGTAACAGCAGCCCCTAGGTAACAGCAGCCCCTAGGTAACGGCAGCCCCTAGGTAACGGCAGCCCCTAGGCAGCGGCAGCCCCTAGGTAACAGCAGCCCCTAGGTAACAGCAGCCCCTAGGTAACGGCAGCCCCTAGGTAACAGCAGCCCCTAGGTAACGGCAGCCCCTAGGTAACAGCAGCCCCTAGGTAACAGCAGCCTCTAGGCAACAGCAGCCCCTAGGTAACAGCAGCCCCTAGGTAACAGCAGCCCCTAGGTAACGGCAGCCCCTAGGTAACAGCAGCCCCTAGGTAACAGCAGCCCCTAGGCAACAGCAGCCCCTAGGTAACAGCAGCCCCTAGGCAACAGCAGCCTGGTAATAGCAGTTCAGGGTAGAGGCCGACCGAAATTCGGTTTCAGTTTCGGCGCTGAAAGTTGTCAATGGCCTCTTTCAGCATCGTTTTGGTTTCGGCCAAAAGTAAATTTTTTACTTTCGGACTGATTTCGTTTTCGGCCGAAACCAGAAATTCAGTTTTGATCGGCCTCTAAACTACACGCACGTGCATGCGACTCCGGGCAGCAGCGGCGGTGGTTGATGGCAGACGCTCCTCACTCTCTCCGGCGATCGGAAGTAGCGCACACACGCACCGTCAAGCAAGCATGGGGGTGAGAGGATTGTGGTGGTGGTGGGGGGGATAAGACAGACGACGGAGAAGAATGAGAAAAAAATAACTTCCCCCCCAAAACCACCAAACTAACGAGCAGCAGCAGCAAGCAGCACACGCGTAGCCAGCACACGCAGCAGCAGCAGTAGCAGCAGTAGCACACACGCCTAGCCAGCACACGCGTAGCCAGCACTAGCAGCACTAGCAGCAGCAGTAGCAGCAGTAGCACACACGCCTAGCCAGCACACGCGTAGCCAGCACACGCAGCACTAGCAGCAGCAGTAGCAGCAGTAGCACACACGCCTAGCCAGCACACGCCTAGCCAGCACACGCGTAGCCAGCACTAGCAGCAGCACACACGCGTAGCCAGCACTAGCAGCACTCGCAGCACTCTCAGCAGCAGCAGTCCACCAGGGGCACTTTTGTTTGAGCGGCTCAGAGGCTGGGCTCTCACAGGCAGCTCGAGGCACGCACCACACACCACACACACACACACCACACACACACACATATCACACACACACACACTACACACACACCACACACACACACACCACACACACACATATCACACACACACACACCACACACACACCACACATATCACACACACACACCACACACACACACCACACATATCACACACACACCACACATATCACACACACCACACACACCACACACACATCACACACACCACACACACACACCACACACACACCACACACACACACCACACATACCACACACACACCACACACACACACCACACACACCACACACACACACCACACATATCACACACACACCACACACACACCACACATATCACACACACACCACACATATCACACACACACCACACACACACCACACACACCACACACACACACACCACACATATCACACACACCACACACACACCACACACACAAACCACACATATCACACACACACCACACACACACCACACACACACCACACACACACCACACACCACACACACACCACACACCATGCACACACACATACCACACACGCACCACACACACGCACCACACACACACCCCAACCCACTCACCCCTCCAATGATCCAATTCAACCCTCCCACCACCCCATCCCACCCCACTTCCTCCCCCACATGGGTTCCACACAGCAGGAGGGGGCTTGGGTGTGCGTGCGTGCGACTCTGTGACGCGTCTAGAGGCCGACAGAAATTCGGTTTCGGTTTTGGCGCCGACACAAGGGTAGCTGGGTATAACATTGTAACGTTTAACATAATTCACAAGGCAATATATAGTATCGTAATTGTATAGTGAATATACAGCATTGTGGTATATAGTAGGGTTGATAGAATAAGACAGTGTAATGTTACAAGTCTAACACTTTATAGTCTAAAGTATAGGGTAGTGTATAGTAACGCATTGTAGAATTCAAAGGTGGAATTTTATCTATGGATATGATATTATACCATGTAGGTTAGATTGGAAGGTATAATATTGTACTGTACAGTAGTCCAGTTTGTAACAGAGTTACAACGCAACACAGGACAGAGCAGCGCACCTTGGCTGCTCTTTGACCTTCCCTTTCTGTCTGCCCAGCCACCACCCTCCTCCGATCCGGTGGTGGTGCTGGGTGACATGCTCATTCATGTTCATTCCACCCATACAGCTTAAAAGACGCAATCCAAGCTTAGCAATGTTCACTCAAGCACTGTCTGCTGGACAGTCCTGTTTCTTCACCTGAAGAAGGCTACTTGTGTTGTGGCCGAAACGTCGTGAGAATTTTATTTTATTATGTTTTATTATTATCTTTCTTATTTTGTTTCCACTCTACGTGACTTTACCGAAAGAACCAAGGGTAGCTGGGTGTTTGTTGCACCGAGTTGCAGGATTCTGCGTCAAGTTGCTCGTCTTGCTCGCGTCGTGTTGCTTACGGCCGAGTTGCCCGGCGTCGAGTCGCCCGTGGTTGCCGACGTCTGTTGCCCCGCGTGCGCCGCTTGCCGTGGCCCCAGGCGTCCCCAAGTGGCAGGAGGGTGACGTGCAGGCCTGGCTGGAGGAGAGCAGCCTGGGCGCCTACTGCACCAACTTCACGCAGATCGACGGCCGCATCCTCCACACCCTCCTGGAGATCCGCCAGCAGGTGGCACGGGGACACCGGGGGACACCACGTGGGGGCACCACACAGCACCACGTGGTGTCACCACACAGCACCACGTGGTGTCACCACACACAGCACCACGTGGTGTGTCACAGAGTGACACACCACGTGGGGGCACCACACAGCACCACGTGGGGGCACCACACACAGCACCACGTGGTGTCACCACACAGCACCACGTGGTGTCACCACACAGCACCACGTGGTGTCACCACACACAGCACCACGTGGTGTCACAGAGTGACACACCACGTGGGGGCACCACACAGCACCACGTGGGGGCACCACACACAGCACCACGTGGTGTCACCACACAGCACCACGTGGTGTCACCACACAGCACCACGTGGTGTCACCACACACAGCACCACGTGGTGTCACAGAGTGACACACCACGTGGGGGCACCACACAGCACCACGTGGGGGCACCACACACAGCACCACGTGGTGTTACCACACAGCACCACGTGGTGTCACCACCCACAGCACGACGTAGTGTCACCACACACAGTACCACGTGGTGTTACCACACACAGCACCACGTCTCAGGCTCAAGGACACAGACGCCACGACTCAGTGAGGACCCCAACCCTGCGGCTCCTCACCTTCTCACCCAGCTCCTCACCTCCTCACCTCCTCACCCAGCTTCTCACCTCCTCACCCAGCTCCTCACCCAGCTCCTCACCCAGCTCCTCACCCAGCTCCTCACCCAGCTCCTCACCTCACCCAACTCCTCACCTCCTCACCCAGCTCCTCACCTCCTCACCCAGCTCCTCACCTCCTCACCCAGCTCCTCACCCAGCTCCTCACCCCCTCACCCAACTCTTCACTTCCTCACCTCCTCACCCAGCTCCTCACCCAGCTCCTCACCCAGCTCCTCACCTCCTCACCCACCTCCTCACCCAGCTCCTCCTCGATGTCTTTGTCTCACATCTTCTCTTCCTGCTCTCAGGCCCCAGAGTTCTTTGCCATGGTGGCACGGGAAGTGGGCGGCTTCCACTGCCTGGAGGACTTCCTCAAGTTCCTGGACGCTGTGGAGAAACTGGACTGATGAGGTTCACTGTCCACTCACCACCACTGTCACACTCACCACACTCACCATGCACTACTACACATTCACCACACAGTGAACACCACCCGCCCTCACACTCACCACACTCACCATGCACTACTACACATTCACCACACAGTGAACACCACCACTCTCACACTCACCACACTCACCATGTACTACTACACATTCACCACACAGTGAACACCACCACTCTCACACTCACCACACTCACCATGTACTACTACACATTCACCACACAGTGAACACCACCACTCTCACACTCACCACGCACTACTACACATTCACCACACAGTGAACATCACCGCTCTCACACTCACCACACTCACCATGCACTACTACACATTCACCACACAGTGAACACCACCACTCTCACACTCACCACACTCACCATGCACTACTACACATTCACCACACAGTGAACATCACCACTCTCACACATACCACACTCACCATGCACTACTACACATTCACCACACAGTGAACACCACCACTCTCACACTCACCACACTGTGCACTCACCACCATCACCACTCTCACGCGCTGCCTGTGCTGTGGTCTCACAGGACGTTCCGCTGCACCTTTCTCTGCTGCTGCTGCTGCTGTTGTTGCAGGTGGCAGAGTCGAGGACAGAGCAGCTGATTGGAGCTCAACCACACAAACACAGCACAACCACACACTCACACACTCACTCACACACTCACTCACACACTCACACACTCACTCACACACTCACTCACACACTCACTCACTCACACACGGCCATTCACACTGCATACCCGCAGACGATGACGGTGGCAGACAATAACGCTGCTGCCTTGAGGCCTACAGAGGCCAGCCCCGGCGCTCACACTGGCACAGGCTCGGTGATGATGCTGCTGCTGGCTTGCAGGCAACACCGAATGCTCTCAGACACCCGTGGCCCATGGCCGCCTGTGGATGTGAAGAGGCCATCCACTGCCCCAATCAGCTTCTTGTCTCCGGGTTCCTTCTCTTTGTTTCCATGATTCTGTTTAACACGCAGCAGCAGCAGCGGTAGTAGTAGTAGGAGGAGGCTTTCGTGAACAATATTATCCATAAGAGAATTTTGGGTTAGATTGCGTGAATATGTGTCGTTAAACCCCCCACCACCCAACACAGCCAATTAGTAAGGTTTGTCACGTAAACACAACATGCCAATTAGTGACTAGTACAGCAGACGGTTGTGTGTTGAGAGTAAACCCACTACAACAGTTACAACTCGAGTACGGCGTTTCGCCGGTAATGACAACCAGCCTGATGTCTGTGTCAGGTGGTGGCGGGTTTAACGACACATTTACACAATCTAATCCAAAATAATCCTCTATTGTCGATGTCACGATTCCCCTCGTCAATCGCAGTTAATCCGATGGGTGTCGTTAGACCGGGCCTCGTAGCGATCGAGCGAGGTGCCCGGCTGGGATTCTCGTGAACGCAGCGGCTCTGTGAGGACGTCAACACCGGCAAGAGGGACGCGGTCGGGTGGGGCTGGCGACGGGGAACGGTGCAACGAGGGCCGGAGACGGCTCCACTCGCCCGGCGTGCGCGGCGGCCGGCAGGGCCCCGGGTGGAGGAGAGAGGCCTCGTCGTGGGGTGGTGGCCCCTGGGTCCGGGTTGGGGAGGAGTGCCGTGGACGTGGGCACCCGTGGCAAGTCCGGCGCGTGGAGACGGAGCCTGGTGGAGTCGGCATTTAATCTCGTAATCTTTTGCTTTAATTTTAACACTTTACACGATAAAGTATATTCTAGTGCAACCGTTAGGGTTTGGTTACGATGGTCCGAGCGCGATTCCATCCAGCGGAGCGGCCCTGGCTGCCGTTCATGGCGGGGGTTCTCCACTGTAGCTGTGCCGCAGATGCCTACGAGCGAGGCCGCGGATATCAGCGGGGGTGCGGAGACGACCAAGGATTCGTTGTGGAAGAGCCATCGGCTCCAAGGGCCATGAAGCCCTGGAGAGTTGTGATGAGTGCAGCGGCGGCAGCGGCGGCGGAACCATCGGGGCGGCAGACTCCAGAAGGCCGAGAGCCTCTCTGCTCCTAGTCACCTGCCTGCTGTGGTGGCCTCGATTAGCACCATCGCAATCAAACACAAAGTAGAACCTGGGCTCGTGCTCATGAACAGTAGAAGACTGGTGTTAGGTTCTAGTTAAGCGTTAGGGTGAGGTGATACAATTATTAAAAGGCATACTGCATTTTCTTCACGGTGATCATTAACCATTATAAGTCGACGTGATTGTCATGTAAAACCCGCTGCTTGCTAATTGCTCCATTAAACATCTACTGCAACCCTTGCCCGTGTCTGTTGGCAGTGCCTCGTGCTGTGGGTGGTCTCAGTGACCCCGTGGCCTTGTACAGACATTGCTGGGGAATGCGACGGTGCAAGTGACTCGGTAGCTCTTTACAACTACGCACACCGCACAGTGTCTGTGTGTACACTCATCTGGGCGTAGGTGGCGTTACAGTCCCTGTTCTCAACGTCAGCCGTGCGAGGCAGCACACCAACTGGCACAGCAGCAGGTGGCAGCAAAGCTCAGCTGCCATTGTCCACGCCCCGCCCCCTGGAGGCGCAGACCTTGGTGAAGCCGACAATGAGGTCACCGCGTGTTAGAGAGAGACACCGACCACGCCATCGTCATCAAATTCGGCACACGCATGGGGAAACCAGGAGAATCTTGATTTAGAGTTTTCGTGACTGCAGGAATTCATACTCTGGTTCTTTTGGTAAAGTCACTTCAGTGTCAACCAAATGTGAAGTTAACTTGATTGCTAAACTCAACCTCCAGTCAAAAAAGAAGCCAGAGCCACATTAAAATGTTAGATGTTAACAAGATTGTCATCAATCATAACAGCCCAATTTCCGACAGCCTCAAATCAGTACTAGCTAAAGGGTTGAATTTCGCAGTCACCCCTAAACACATCCCAGTGGATGATATCATTGCCCAGGTCGACGTAGCCCTCAGTTTTGGGACACATCCCGGCAGACGTTGCAAGATCTGAAATCGCTGCTATCCTCAAAAACGCTAAGAGACCCATTAGCAACATCAGCAAGGATGAGCGTTTTGAACTCGCTCAATTAAAGAATAGAGATGACACAAGGGCAATGCCACTGTCATCATGGATAAAACCACTTACAACAACAAAACTCAGGACCTTAATGATGGCAGCTATAACAAAATCAATAGAGATCCAACCAACTGCCTAGCCAGGAAACCAACACTATCATCACCAATTCGACTTCTCTAATCGAACCGGCCAAGCAACTCTCTAAAATCTTTGGCTACTAGCAAGGCTGGCACGGCCCGGTTTTATTCATTCGGGTTTTAATCGTTTTTTATATAAAACCAGAGCACCTGGATCCTGCCCAAATCCGGTTTTATTCGGTTTTATTAAAGTTAAGTCGGGATTTCAGTCGCACGCACCCATTAGCGGCGTTCGGGCCAGGGCACGGGCTCAGCCGCCATGCGCGCTCCAGAAGATCGCCATCAAACTGTTCAGCATGGCCACGTCGACCGCTGCGTCTGAGCGAAACTTCTCGACGATGGGATTTATCCATTCCAAGTTGAGGAACAGCCTGGCACCCAACACAGTCGAGAAGCTCGTCTTCATGAAGTCGATCCTCAACGCGTTCTACGACTACCCGACGCCCGATGACGGCGACAACAACACCGAGTCCAGCAGCGAGAGCGACGACGAAGACGACGCGGCGGCGGACGACGACGAGGAGCAGGATTGAAGTGTGCACGAGACGCCGATAATAAAACCAGGTTTTATTCGGTCAAAATCAGGTTTAATTCCATTAAAACCAATAACCCGATTTGTCGGACAAAAAAATCGGGTTTTTCCCACCCTTGGCTGCTAGACCACCCAGATTTTATGGCCTTCCAAAAATACAAAAAAGAAGGTATCCCGCTCTGTCCTATCGTCTCCACCATTAACTCGCCCACCTACAAACTGGCCCAATTTCTGAGACCCTGCTTCCTTTCACGGGCAAGACCACCTCAGCTGTACTTAGCTCACTTGGTTTCTCTAATCAAGGACATCTCACTGTCTCCAGATAATTTGCTTGTGAGTTTCGATGTATCTTCTTTGGTTCTTTCGGTAAAGTCACGTAGAATGAGAATAAAATAATAAATTGATAAAATAAATCAATTTATTATTTTATTCTCATTCTATGTGACTTTACCGAAAGAACCAAAGAAGATGAATCATTGCAGTCACGAAAGCTTTAAATCGAAAGTTTCGATGTAGTCTCACTGTTCACCAAGGTACCTGTAACCTGACACCATTGCAATCATTAAAGACTTGGTCCAACAGGGACTGAATCCAGATGTACCGACTTTGGTAAGGCACTGCCTTACCAGCACTTAACCTGGAATGGTACATTCTACAATCAGGGTACCCCAATGGGTTCTCCCTTATCGCCAGTGGTAGCAAATGTTTTCATGGAGACATCTACCCTATGTCCTTGTGGAAGAGATACGTAGATAATACTTTCGTCATCTGGCCACACGGCCTGCCAAGCACTGAACCAATTTATCAACCACATTAATTCCATACACCCATCTATCAAATTCACCATGGTAGTGCAAAGAAGGGCAAGCTACCATTCCTGGATGTTTTGATCTGATGGCTCGTTGGGACACTGTCTACAGGAAAGCCACCCACACAGATGCCTATCTAAAGCCTGACTGCCACCACCATCCAGCCCAGAAGAATTCCCTCATCAACACACTACACCATAGGGCCCGTTGCATCTCCGACCAGCACCACCTAGCCAGTGAGCTAGAACACGTACACCAAGCTCTCAGGATGAATAGATATTCTGACCGTACAATCCGCAAAGCTGTCTCCCCAGCAATGGGGAGACAACCATCTCAGAATCCAATCAAAACCATCACTTTGCCATACATAGCAGGGGTTACCAAAAATATTTCCACAATCTTAAACAAACACAAGATCCAGGTTAGTTTAAACACAGTACACAAAATCCATGATTTTATCCCATCTGTAAAGGATGTGATTCCTGACATGCAATACCCTGGTGTCTACAAACTAAGTTGTGGCTGCGGCAGCAGTTACATTGGGGAAGCGAAACAACATGTCTCGGACCGTGTTCGCAATCCCAAGGCAGATCTGAAACACGGTAGGACCAATACCTCTGCCATTGCTGATCATTGTTTTAACGCTGTGGGCTCACAAAATGTATTTTTCCAAGACGAAGGTACTCTGCAAACCCACCGGCTTACCTTAAGAGATTTGGTCATGAAGCCATCCAGATATATAAACGCAGACACAGCTTCAACCGAAAAGATGGGTGCAAACTGAGCAATCATTGGAAGGACGTTATTAACCAAGTAAAGTCTTAACTGACTGTGATGTCTCCATCCTACCTCCATGAGGCTCTGCAAGGATGGGTGGTGATCGCGGGTTGTTGAGGACATGGAGTCTGCCTCAGTGGCCCGTGATACCAAATCGCTCTTTAATTCCATTAAAAAAAATAACCTCCAGCACCACACCTATTACCACCGCTCACCTCAACAGACATGCACGCTCGCACACACCACACACACAACGCCGCCACCGCTGCTGCCAGGAACCCGTTCATCAGATGTTCCATCAGCCGCCACGCGATGTTCCGTCTCAGTAGAGTCGCTTCTTCCTCATTACTGTGGCTCGCAACTCAAAATAGACGTCCTGACACAGCAGGAGAGCAGTGGCGGTGATCAGGAGGAATGGGGCAGCGTAGCTGTATCAACGACGCAATGAGATGGCAGCAACACAGCCAGACAGGGCCAGTGGCATTCACCAGTTTGTGAGAAATTTCTGATCATGACCCTTCAGTGTCATTTGTTGTCATTGCCACACTCTGAGACCGACACCAACCCCCTGGCTCGCTGTTCTGGTGAACATTCCACCACCAAATATCCGCAGAGACATTGCACACGCAGTCAAGGAGTCCACACTACCAGTGAGTCCACACTACCAGTGAGTACACAATGCCAGTGAGTCCACACTACCAGTGAGTACACAATGCCAGTGAGTCCACACTACCAGTGAGTCCACACTGCCAGGGAGTCCACGCTACCAGTGAGTACACACTACCAGTGAGTCCACACTGCCAGTGAGTCCACACTGACAGTGAGTCCACACTACCAGTGAGTCCACACTACCAGTGAGTCCACACTACCAGTGAGTCCACACTGCCAGGGAGTCCACACTACCAGTGAGTACACACTGACAGTGAGTACACACTGACAGTGAGTACACACTGACAGTGAGTACACACTACCAGTGAGTCCACACTGACAGGGAGTCCACACGTGGAGCGCTCCAGCGAACGTCCGGGCGACGTCCTGAGACCACGTGGCTGCCAAATTCCCACGCGTTCCACCGTCCCCGCGAATCCGCGCTGCGAATCCGCGCGCATCCATCGCGTGTGGCGCGGGGCGGAGACAGAGAGACAGCGAGAGCCGGGAAAGTCCTCCTGTGGCGGTGCAGTCTCAGTCTGCTCCAGACGCATGCGGCGAAGAGCGGCGGGCATGTGCGCAGTGTCTTGCCGGGTGCGGAATCGAAGTCGTCCAACCACATTTGAAACCGCCGCATTTTCACGAGACTCTTCAACTTTACTGAATATTTATTTGTAACGATGCCTCTGCCGTGACGGCTGCGGTCAATTGGTGAGTCTCTTGACTTAAAGCTTTCGTGACTGCAGGAATTCATATTATTTGGGTCTTTCGGTAAAGTCACGTATGGATGAGTCTCGTTGATCGAGACGCGCACAAGGCAGCCGCGGGCTCACGGCGGGAGGGAGCGCCGCCAACCTCCATCCCACCCCCGCGACTCGCCGTGGCAGAGCAGAGCAAATGTACAGCCCCTTCCGTGACATTCGCCACGAGTCTAAAGTGGCCCGGAGGAAATTTTCTGCTCCTATCAGTATCCAATTCCCCAAATATCTACACGCCCCGTTATGTACCTCGCAGCAGTTCTCACGGTGTCGCGTGGACGCGGAGGGACGGAGACGGGAGACAACCTTGCCTATCGCTGTCTCGTAGCTGCACTCGCTGGCGTCTCACGGACGCTGCCAATGGCTCGAGGAGGCAGGCAGGGAGTCGGTCCCTGCCACCAAGCGGCTGGAGATCAGAAGACCCTTGAACCGTTCCGGGTTCCCCCTTTTTATGCCCTGGGATTTTGGAAAATCCAGGGTTACATTACGTCATCCTGCGCAACCAATCGTGCACCTATCTTTTGATTTTCAAAAGTTTTGCTGCCGTTACCTAGGGCATCACGTTACGCTATCCCCCGGCCCGTTGTCTCCGCGCCCGCATTCCTTACCCCCGACTCAGGCGGTTTACCCTGAAGGGCCGCCCGGCTGCCGAATACCCGCGGTGTGCGCAGGGATTTCCTTCCCACCTCCTCGTCTGTGCTGCTCGCGCAATATTTCACCCTGGCCCCTCCCCAGTGCTGAGCGTCTCATTGCGGTTAGCCCGGTGAGCTTCTGTGCACCCATACAACTTTAAGCCAATTTGGGGGCCGCAATTTGTCCTGGGGGGAGGCAGCCAATATCCTGGCACCGGGAAACCATGGGACGTCCCCTCTAGGGGCCCTTTGGATGAAAACCCGCGGTGCCAGGCGATCCCCTGCTGGGACACTACGTGTGTGAGCGTCGTGTGTGTGTGCGGTGTGTGTGTGCGGTGTGTGTGTGCGGCGTGTGTGTGCGTGGTGCGTGTGTGTGCGTGGTGTGTGTGCGGCGTGTGTGTGCGGTGTGTGTGCGGCGTGTGTGCGGTGTGTGCGGTGTGTGTGTGCGGCGTGTGTGTGCGTGGTGTGTGTGTGCGGTGTGTGTGCGGCGTGTGTGCGGTGTGTGCGGTGTGCGTGCGTGGTGTGTGTGCGGTGTGTGTGCGGCGTGTGTGTGCGGTGTGTACGTGGTGTGTGTGTGCGTGGTGTGTTCGGTGTGTGTGCGTGGTGTGTGTGCGGTGTGTTTGTGTGCGTGGTGTGTTCGGTGTGTGTGCGGCGTGTGTGCGGCGTGTGTGCGGTGTGTGGTGTGTGTGCGGTGTGTGTGCAGCGTGTGTGCGGTGTGTGTGTGTGTGTGCGCGGCGTGTGTGCGTGGTGTGTGTGTGTGCGTGGTGTGTGTGTGTGCGGTGTGTGTGCGGCGTGTGTGCGTTCAGGGCGGGGTTAGGGGGGGGGGATTGCGGCGCTTGCGGAGTGGCTCCCCGGTCGTGGCACCACACGTGCAGAGGAATGTGCAGCCCGCACACAAGCCATGCCTGCACCCACAGAAGCCATGCCTGCACCCACACAAGCCATGCCTGCACCCACACAAGCCATGCCTGCACCCACACAAGCCATGCCTGCACCCGCTCCGAGTGTCGCTCAGCGATTCCCCCAACTGTGTCCACTCTGGTGCACGACCACCACGAAATCCCACACAGGCTGGGTTCTAGCATCACAGGCTGGGTTCTAACATCACAGGCTGGGTTCTAGCATCACAGGCTGGGTTCTAACATCACAGGCTGGGTTCTAACATCACAGGCTGGGTTCTAACACCACAGGCTGGGTTCTAACATCACAGGCTCGGTTCTAACATCACAGGCTGGGTTCTAACATCACAGGCTGGGTTCTAACATCACAGGCTGGGTTCTAACACCACAGGCTGGGTTCTAACATCACCGGCTGGGTTCTAACATCACAGGCTGGGTTCTAACATCACAGGCTGGGTTCTAACACCACAGGCTGGGTTCTAACATCACAGGCTGGGTTCTAACACCACAGGCTGGGTTCTAACATGACAGGCTGGGTTCTAACACCACAGGCTGGGTTCTAACATCACAGGCTGGGTTCTAACATCACAGGCTGGGTTCTAACACCACAGGCTGGGTTCTAACATCACAGGCTGGGTTCTAACATCACAGGCTGGGTTCTAACACCACAGGCTGGGTTCTAACATCACAGGCTGGGTTCTAACACCACAGGCTGGGTTCTAACATCACAGGCTGGGTTCTAACATCACAGGCTGGGTTCTAACACCACAGGCTGGGTTCTAACATCACAGGCTGGGTTCTAACATCACAGGCTGGGTTCTAACACCACAGGCTGGGTTCTAACATCACAGGCTGGGTTCTAACATCACAGGCTGGGTTCTAACACCACAGGCTGGGTTCTAACATCACAGGCTGGGTTCTAACATCACAGGCTGGGTTCTAACACCACAGGCTGGGTTCTAACATCACAGGCTGGGTTCTAACATCACAGGCTGGGTTCTAACACCACAGGCTGGGTTCTAACACCACAGGCTGGGTTCTAACATCACAGGCTGGGTTCTAACATCACAGGCTGGGTCTAACACCACAGGCTGGGTTCTAACATCACAGGCTGGGTTCTAACATCACAGGCTGGGTTCTAACACCACAGGCTGGGTTCTAACATCACAGGCTGGGTTCTAACATCACAGGCTGGGTTCTAAACACCACAGGCTGGGTTCTAACACATCACAGGCTGGGTTCTAACACCACAGGCTGGGTTCTAACATCACAGGCTGGGTTCTAACATCACAGGCTGGGTTCTAAACATCACAGGCTGGGTTCTAACATCACAGGCTGGGTTCTAACACCACAGGCTGGGTTCTAACATCACAGGCTGGGTTCTAACACCACAGGCTGGGTTCTAACATCACAGGCTGGGTTCTAACATCACAGGCTGGGTTCTAACACCACAGGCTGGGTTCTAACATCACAGGCTGGGTTCTAACACCACAGGCTGGGTTCTAACATCACAGGCTGGGTTCTAACATCACAGGCTGGGTTCTAACATCACAGGCTGGGTTCTAACACCACAGGCTGGGTTCTAACATCACAGGCTGGGTTCTAACACCACAGGCTGGGTTCTAACATCACAGGCTGGGTTCTAACATCACAGGCTGGGTTCTAACATCACAGGCTGGGTTCTAACATCACAGGCTGGGTTCTAACATCACAGGCTGGGTTCTAACACCACAGGCTGGGTTCTAACATCACAGGCTGGGTTCTAACATCACAGGCTGGGTTCTAACATCACAGGCTGGGTTCTAACACCACAGGCTGGGTTCTAACATCACAGGCTGGGTTCTAACATCACAGGCTCGGTTCTAACATCACAGGCTGGGTTCTAACATCACAGGCTGGGTTCTAACATCACAGGCTGGGTTCTAACATCACAGGCTGGGTTTCTAACACCACAGGCTGGGTTTCTAACATCACAGGCTGGGTTCTAACATCACAGGCTGGGTTCTAACATCACAGGCTGGGTTTCTAACATCACAGGCTGGGTTCTAACATCACAGGCTGGGTTCTAACATCACAGGCTGGGTTCTAACATCACAGGCTGGGTTCTAACATCACAGGCTGGGTTCTAACATCACAGGCTGGGTTCTAACATCACAGGCTGGGTTCTAACATCACAGGCTGGGTTCTAACATCACAGGCTGGGTTCTAACACCACAGGCTGGGTTCTAACATCACAGGCTGGGTTCTAACATCACAGGCTGGGTTCTAACATCACAGGCTGGGTTCTAACATCACAGGCTGGGTTCTAACAACACAGGCTGGGTTCTAACATCACAGGCTCGGTTCTAACATCACAGGCTGGGTTCTAACATCACAGGCTGGGTTCTAACATCACAGGCTGGGTTCTAACATCACAGGCTGGGTTCTAACACCACAGGCTGGGTTCTAACATCACAGGCTGGGTTCTAACATCACAGGCTGGGTTCTAACATCACAGGCTGGGTTCTAACATCACAGGCTGGGTTCTAACATCACAGGCTGGGTTCTAACATCACAGGCTGGGTTCTAACATCACAGGCTGGGTTCTAACACCACAGGCTGGGTTCTAACATCACAGGCTGGGTTCTAACACCACAGGCTGGGTTCTAACATCACAGGCTGGGTTCTAACATCACAGGCTGGGTTCTAACATCACAGGCTGGGTTCTAACATCACAGGCTGGGTTCTAACACCACAGGCTGGGTTCTAACACCACAGGCTGGGTTCTAACATCACAGGCTGGGTTCTAACATCACAGGCTGGGTTCTAACATCACAGGCTGGGTTCTAACATCACAGGCTGGGTTCTAACATCACAGGCTGGGTTCTAACATCACAGGCTGGGTTCTAACATCACAGGCTGGGTTCTAACATCACAGGCTGGGTTCTAACATCACAGGCTGGGTTCTAACATCACAGGCTGGGTTCTAACATCACAGGCTGGGTTCTAACACCACAGGCTGGGTTCTAACATCACAGGCTGGGTTCTAACATCACAGGCTGGGTTCTAACATCACAGGCTGGGTTCTAACACCACAGGCTGGGTTCTAACATCACAGGCTGGGTTCTAACATCACAGGCTCGGTTCTAACATCACAGGCTGGGTTCTAACATCACAGGCTGGGTTCTAACATCACAGGCTGGGTTCTAACATCACAGGCTGGGTTCTAACACCACAGGCTGGGTTCTAACATCACAGGCTGGGTTCTAACATCACAGGCTGGGTTCTAACATCACAGGCTGGGTTCTAACATCACAGGCTGGGTTCTAACATCACAGGCTGGGTTCTAAACATCACAGGCTGGGTTCTAACATCACAGGCTGGGTTCTAACATCACAGGCTGGGTTCTAACACCACAGGCTGGGTTCTAACATCACAGGCTGGGTTCTAACATCACAGGCTGGGTTCTAACACCACAGGCTGGGTTCTAACATCACAGGCTGGGTTCTAACATCACAGGCTGGGTTCTAACACCACAGGCTGGGTTCTAACACCACAGGCTGGGTTCTAACATCACAGGCTGGGTTCTAACATCACAGGCTGGGTTCTAACATCACAGGCTGGGTTCTAACATCACAGGCTGGGTTCTAACATCACAGGCTGGGTTCTAACATCACAGGCTGGGTTCTAACACCACAGGCTGGGTTCTAACACCACAGGCTGGGTTCTAACATCACAGGCTGGGTTCTAACATCACAGGCTGGGTTCTAACATCACAGGCTGGGTTCTAACACCACAGGCTGGGTTCTAACATCACAGGCTGGGTTCTAACATCACAGTGTGTTCGGTACGCGATGGTGGAGCAGCACACAGCGCGTGGATACGTGACGCGTCAATGAGTTTTAATTGTCTTAGGCATCAGGCCCAGGTACATATCCGCTGCATCTAAAAGACGGCAATGACTCATTATAATCAGCGTAACGTAGACGGTAAACATTGTGAATTGAATTATTTTTAAGGACAATATAAAAACACCATGGCTTTCTGTTTGTGTGTAAATCTCACGACCACAATCTTGGACTAGCAATGTTCACATGAATACTTAACAAGAGATGGCATCATTAACATGAATACTTAACAAGTGATGGCATCATTAACATGAATACTTAACAAGCGATGGCATCATTAACATGAATACTTAACAAGTGATGGCATCATTAAGCTTAATTAAACGTGATACTTCACCATTATCCTGAATATAATGACAATGCTCAGCTGCGTGAAATGTTACGTAAACAATTTTCTCGGCGAGGCTAAAAGGAACTGGTTGCCGCAATTTGTCAGCAACTGCAGCACGCGAACTACTGTCAGGTGCACACACAAGAGACAGAGATGCCCGTACAGCCTTTCACAGACTGCTGCTGCTGCGGCTGGGGCAATGCTGTTAGCGAGCACCTATTAAAGGCGGAATGGCACGCAAGGAGGTGGTGAGCCCAGCACCGCTGCCGGCCACCTTTGTCTCCCCAGTGCTGATGTTTACACACCGCGCCGGGTTTACGTTTAAAGTCGAGTCCACCTAGGGGAGGCCCAGGACCGGTTAAAATTGTCACCACCGTTGTCGGTCGTGAGCGAGAATCGTACTCGAGTCGCCGGGATCGTAGCGCAGCGCGCTAACCACTGCGCCACCGCTCCCCACGAGCGCACACATTCACATGCGCGCTCACACGCTCGTGCACGTGCTCACGCACTCGCTCACACTCACGTGGACGCGCGTTCACACTCACGTGGACGCTCACACTCACGTGGACACTCACACTCACTCACATGGACACGCGTTCACACTCACGTGGACGCTCACACTCACATGGACACACACTCACACACACTTCCACGCGCTCAGACTTCCAAGGGAAGACACGGTTCAAAGGTCAGGTCGTTGGGCTCAGCCGGTCCGATGAAGGAGGGCAACGGAGATGGCAGCACGTGGTGCCCCCCCCGTGAGCGAGCGAGCCTCATTCTCGTCACGTGCCGCACCAATCGCTCTCAAGCTGCTTTTGAGCGTCCGCCGCGAGGCGGTGCCGGTGGGACGCCGACGGAGTAACGCGCCGCCGCCGCCGCCGCCGGCGGTCGCCCGCGTCCCAGCAGCAGCAGCAGCAGGCGCAGTCGTCGTCGTCACGACTTTGGGTCCGAGGCTCGAGCGGGGCTCGGCAAGGCGAGGCTGCGATTCCGATACCGCCGGGGTGCGGTCGATGGGATGTGTACAACCCGACAACCACAACAACCGCAACAACCACAACAACAACCACAACCACCACAACAACCACAACAACCGCAACAACAACAACCACAACGTGCGTTGCCGATGTGCAAGCGAGGGCCTCTCCGGCTCCTGCTGCCGCTGTGGCCTAGAAGCTGAGGCTGAGGGCGATGCTGTCCTCGAAGAGGGCGATGAGGAACATGATGGCGAAGCCGAGGAGGAGGCCGGCGTTCTGCAGCAAGAAGCGGCCGAGGCCCTTGGGCCCGCGGCCGTCGGCGCGAAGCTCCGGGAGCTGCGGGCGGCGGAAACGAGAGGGGGGGGGGGGTAGCAGCGGTGGCAGCGTCAGGGCAGCTTTACCCAATAGAACCAAAGAGTATGGATCCTAGCAGTCACGAACGCTTTAAATCTAGAATTGATAACCTCTATGGGGAGGGCTTTCACCTATCTGTTAGAGCTTTTAACAGACAACGGGATAAGAAGTCGCAACTCATCGAGACGCTGCTTCTCACACAACTTAAAGGTCGTGATCTAAGCGTGGCTTCTTCCACTCCAGCGCTGTCCTCCAGACAGTCTCGTCCCTTAACCTGATGAAGGCCGCTTGTGTTGTGGCCGAAACGTCGTGATTTTTTGTTATTTTATTTTCACCTACGTGACTTTACCCAATAGAACCAAAGAGTATGGATCCTAGCAGTCACGAAAGCTTTAAATCTAGAATCAATGCGCATTCATTGTACAAGAAAACGCGCCATTCCGCTCAGCGTCGCGAGATCCGAAAACCTGGATCAGAGCGGACGACTTCCCAGGCAGAGGGGGGAGCGGCACGGGGGGGGAGCGGCACGGGGGGGGGGGAGCGGCACGAGGGGGGAGCGGCACGCGGGGGGAGCGGCACGGGGGGGGGAGCGGCACGGGGGGGGAGCGGCACGGGGGGGGGAGCGGCACGGGGGGGGGAGCGGCACGCGGGGGGGGGGAGCGGCACGGGGGGGGAGCGACACGCGCTTCACTCTCGGGGGCCCTCCGAGCGACCATTGCCGCTTGTCATTGACGGCTGCGCTCAGAATCGATTTGTAACGTAAACTCCAAAAGGTGCTCGTTGCACATCCCGCCAATCGCACCAAACCCCACCACGTGACATCGTCTCGCCGCGCTTCGCCAAGGAGGCGAGCGGTGCGAGCGGCGTCGACCGGGCCGCCCAGAGGCAGAGCGAGCGGCGCTCTGTGGGCAAGCGCCGATCCTGCGGCCAGCCTTGCCGCTCGCCCGCCAGCCGCACGGATGTGGAATGTCCACGGCGGCCTCGCGGGCTTCCTCCGTACCCCGGGGGCGAGGGGGCCACGAGATTAGCCGCGCGAGCGTCCCGCGGCTCAGCGATTCGCCGATCCGCTCCGTCTCTCTCGTCTGCGCGTTCCCCGTAGCGTTTGTACTTTACTCACCAGTTCCGGATTTTCCTCACCCGGATCCAACGCCGCGCAGGTCAACGCGGGTCTACGTGGGTCAATGTGGGTCAACGTGGGTCAATGTGGGTCAACGTGGGTCAACGTGGGTCAACGTGGGTCAACGTGGGTCAACGTGGGTCAACGTGGGTCAACGTGGGTCAACGTGGGTCAACGTGGGTCAATGTGGGTCAATGTGGGTCAACGTGGGTCAACGTGGGTCTACGTGGGTCTACGTGGGTCAATGTGGGTCAACGTGGGTCAACGTGGGTCAACGTGGGTCTACGTGGGTCAACGTGGGTCAACGTGGGTCAACGTGGGTCAACGTGGGTCTACGTGGGTCAACGTGGGTCAACGTGGGTCAACGTGGGTCAACGTGGGTCTACGTGGGTCAACGTGGGTCAACGTGGGTCTACGTGGGTCAACGTGGGTCAACGTGGGTCAACGTGGGTCAACGTGGGTCTACGTGGGTCAACGTGGGTCAACGTGGGTCAACGTGGGTCAACGTGGGTCAACGTGGGTCAACGTGGGTCTACGTGGGTCAACGTGGGTCAACGTGGGTCAACGTGGGTCAACGTGGGTCAACGTGGGTCAACGTGGGTCAACGTGGGTCAACGTGGGTCTACGTGGGTCAACGTGGGTCAACGTGGGTCTACGTGGGTCAACGTGGGTCAACACGGGACACGGGAGCGCCGGGAGCGCCGGGAGCGGGGCGCGGGATTGGCGTTGTGTCCACGCGTCGCAGGCGGCCGTCATGAAGCGTCGGGAGAGGTGAGGCCCCCCCCACTCACCCCCCCCCACTCACCCCCCCCACTCACCCCCCCCACTCACCCCCCCCACTCACCCCCCCCACTCACCCCCCCCACTCACCCCCCCCACTCACCCCCCCCACTCACCCCCCCCCACTCACCCCCCCCCACTCACTCCCCCCCACTAACCCCCCCACTCACCCCCCCAGCCCTCCTGCTGCGAGCTCTCCTTCATCGACGTTTCCATCACCGTGGCGGCGTTGCCATGGAAACTCGTCCGTGTGGACGCGCCGTGGCGCGGCGTGCACAGTCGAGGGGAAAACAAAAACAACAAAAACAACAACAACAACAACAACCACGCCACAAAATAAATAACGAGAGGGGGGCGAGGTGGGGGGGGGGGGGCGAGGTAGAGGGGGCGAGGAGGGGGGGGGCGAGGGGGGGGGCGAGGAGGGAGGGGCGAGGAGGGGGGGGGCGAGGTGGAGGGGGGGGCGAGGTGGAGGGGGGAGTGAGGTGGAGGGGGGGGCGAGGGGGGGGCGAGGTGGAGGGGGGGGCGAGGGGGGGGCGAGGTGGAGGGGGGGGCGAGGGGGGGGGCGAGGAGGGGGGGGGCGAGGTGGAGGAGGGGAGGGGCGAGGGGCGAGGGGGGGGGCGAGGTGGAGGGGCGAGGGGGGGGCGAGGGGGGGCGGCGTTCTGCGCGTCGAGGAATCGGCCGACCCACAGCAGGCTGGCGGTGGCGGCGCTGTGCCCACGTGTCCCAGAGACGCCACGGGGCAGCGGCTGCCCGACGTCGTGTCGACGGTCACAGGGTCACAGGGTCACACGGTCACAGGGTCACAGGGTCACACAGTCACAGGGTCACACGGTCACAGGGTCACACGGTCACAGGGTCACAGGGTCACACGGTCACAGAGTCACAGGGTCACACGGTCACAGGGTCACGTGGTCACAGGGTCACGTGGTCACAGGGTCACAGGGTCACAGGGTCACGTGGTCACAGGGTCACAGGGTCACAGCGTCACAGGGTCACAGGGTCACGTGGTCACAGGGTCACAGGGTCACAGGGTCACTTGGTCACGTGGTCACATGGTCACATGGTCACGTGGTCACAGGGTCACAGGGTCACTTGGTCACATGGTTACATGGTCACATGGTCACAGGGTCACATGGTCACAGGGTCACATGGTCACAGGGTCACAGGGTCACATGGTTACATGGTCACACGGTCACAGGGTCACACAGTCACAGGGTCATCCACCTCGCTAGAGGCGGCGTCCACCTCGCTAGAGGCGTCGTCCACCTCGCTAGAGGCGTCGTCCACCTCGCTAGAGGCGTCGTCCGCCTTGCTCCAGTGACCCTCGTCAGGGATGCAGCAGCCCCCGTCCCGTTCGGGCTGCTGGAATGCAGCTCCCAGCTCTGGTGCAGTGCACAGCAGAGCTGCTGCTGCTGGTGGTGCTGCTACTACTACTGGTGGTGCTGTTACTACTACTGGTGGTGCTGCTGCTACTACTACTGGTGCTGCTACTACTACTGGTGGTGCTGCTACTACTGGTGGTGCTGTTACTACTACTACTGGTGGTGCTGCTACTACTACTGGTGGTGCTGCTACTACTACTGGTGCTGCTACTACTACTGCTGGTGCTACTGCTGCTGCTGGTGCTACTGCTGGTGCTACTGCTGCTGCTACTGCTGGTGCTACTGCTGCTGCTGGTGGTGCTGCTGCTACTACTGGTGGTGGTGCTGCTGCTGCTACTACTGCTGGTGCTACTGCTGGTGCTGCTGGTGCTACTGCTGCTGGTGGTGCTGCTGCTACTGCTGGTGGTGCTGCTGCTACTGCTGGTGCTACTGCTGCTGCTACTGCTGGTGCTGCTATTGCTGCTGGTGCTACTGCTGCTGCTGGTGCTACTGCTGGTGCTACTGCTGCTGCTGGTGCTACTGCTGGTGCTACTACTACTGCTGCTGCTACTGCTGCTACTACTGCTACTGCTGCTACTGCTGCTACTGCTGCTACTGCTGCTGCTACTGCTGCTGCTGCTACTGCTGCTACTACTGCTACTGCTGCTACTGCTGCTACTGCTGCTGCTACTGCTACTGCTGCTACTGCTGCTACTGCTGCTACTACTGCTACTGCTGCTACTGCTGCTGCTACTGCTGCTGCTGCTGGTGCTACTGCTGGGGGGGGGTGCTCTGGCTTCGCACTGTAGACACAAGCACACCGTGCTACGAAGGGCGGGCGGACGGGAGGGATGGAGGCGTGCGAGTGTGACGCTTCAAGGGAAGAGTGACACAGGAGCGCCAACGCCGCCCCAACGACAGCCGGCAGCTACAGGCGGCGACACGCAGCCCGCGTGTGTGCGGGAATGTGTGTGCGTGTGAGAATGTGTGTGCATGCACATCCGTGCGTGTGTATGTGAGAGTGTGTGTGAGAGCGTGTGTGTGTGAGAGTGGCGAATGGCGGTTGTTGTTGTTGGTCCGGCAAAACAACCCCCTACCTCCTCGCGGTGCCGGACGGGCAACTCTGTCGTGGACAGCGCTGTGGGGGGAGTTCCAATTTTGATTGGCTCCTCCCCTCATGGCATATGTGTCCACCACAGGGGCTAAACGGGGGCTCTGGACGGGTGCGAGGGGCTGGTAACCCCTCCACCTTCAATTAATTACCACAAAACCACGAATTAAACTGAAATATGTAACAACTAAGCTTGTGCCGGAGGCCCCGGGGGGCCAGGCGTCTATGACGTCTCCTGGCCAAACCCCAATTGGCGGAGCCAGGAGATTGAATACCTACCCTCTGGGCTACTCCAGAAACAACGAAAAGCCACTACGGGTGGCCACGTGGAATGTTCGAACGCTCACTGCAGAGGAGAGGCTGCCACTCCTCTGTCGGGAGCTGGACCGGTACCGCCTGGATCTATGCGGCATTCAGGAGGTCCGGTGGACCGGCTCTGGCTCCTGCCACTATGAGGGGTGGACAGTCCTCTACTCGGGGCAGCAGACTGCCAAACAACAGGGTGTGGGTCTTCTTTTGAACAAAAGAATGAAGGGGGCGTGGGAGCGTGGCGGTGAGGTGTGGGAAGCTGTAAGCCCCAGGCTACTTTGGGCTCGCCTTCCCATCAACCGGA